AATAATTCATTTAACATTTATTTTTTGTACATATATTTTGTTGTATATATATATACAGTTGTACCCCACTTAACGCGGTCAATTGAACCCAGAGGGTCCCGCTTTAAGTGAAAACCGCGTTAAGTGAATAACAGAACATATGGGATTAATTCCAATAGAACCCAGCCCGACCCCCAAACTCCACTTTTTGACGACAAATAACTATGTTGTAGTAAAAATAACATCTTAATTTTATGATGGTACATGCACACAATTAATACTTAAGAGAAATAGAGAAATACAGTCGCCAAGTTAATGTCCATTCAAATAATGGACTCAACTCCCTCCCCCTCTTCTCACACTACACTCACTGGCTCTTCCCTCTGAGAAATTTTTTGGGGAAAACCAGGTATAGTAATAAATAATTCCTCAAACTAAAGTTAGGATAATATAATTAACATTGCTGGATTCCTTGTAAGACCAGGAATATTTTGAATATAAATGTCATATATTTTTCACAAAAGATAACATAATTACCTAGAGAACAATTTTTATCTAAAAATTGTATGTTTAATGCAAAATATATGTTGTTTATATTCAAAATGATCAGCAAATTGTAAGAATTCCAGCAATGTAAATTATATTCTGGCCGGATAATTTGTATGAATTTTATGAGCTAAAACAAATATCTTCAGTTAATAAAAAAAAAAAATATTCTTCGACACTATCTGTCAATCAAAGTACCCCACCTTGCCTTCCCCCCCTCTTCCAACCGCGTGGTCAGTCCCAACCCTCCCCCCACCCCCCACCAATCCTCCATTCAAGAGTTTTTAACATTTAGTATTAAATAATACCTCAGATTAAAGTTAGGATAATATAATTGACATTGCTGGATTCCTTGTAAGACCAGGAATATTTTGAATATAAATGTCATATATTTTGGACAAAAGATAACATAATTACCTAGAGAACAATTTTTATCTAAAAATTGTATGTTTAATGCAAAATATATGTTGTTTATATTCAAAATGATCACCAAATTATAAGAATTCCAGCAATGTAAATTATATTCTGACCGGGTAATTTGTATGAATTTTATGAGCTAAAACAAATATCTTCAGTTAATAAAAAAAAAAATAATTCTTCACAGGGTAACAGATGGTCGGTCGGTCGGTCCCTCCCTCCCCCCCACCCCCCACCAACCGTCCCAAGGAGATGTGTGGGATAACCACTAAATTTTAATAAATAATACCTCAAACTAAAGTTAGGATAATATAATTGACATTGCTGGATTCCTTGTAAGACCAGGAATATTTTGAATATAAATGTCATATATTTTGGACAAAAGATAACATAATTACCTAGAGAACAATTTTTATCTAAAAATTGTATGTTTAATGCAAAATATATGTTGTTTATATTCAAAATGATCACCAAATTATAAGAATTCCAGCAATGTAAATTATATTCTGGCTGGGTAATTTGTATGAATTTTATGAGCTAAAACAGGCAGTCAGGCAGGGTGGCGGGTGGGCGAATCTAAAAATAGCTCTCGAGCCGGACACTCACCGCGTATATGATGAAAAATGCCGCGTTAAGTGAAAGTTCAGCTTTGGCAAGGCACCGCGTATATGCGAAAACGCGTTAAGTGAAAGCGCGTTAAGCGGGGTAAAACTGTATATATATATATATATATATATATATATATATATATATATATATATATATATATATATATATATATATATATATATATATATATATATATATATATATATATATATATATATATATATATATATATATATATATATATATATATTTCAAGTAAATGGAAAAATTTTACTCGACACAGACATTAGTTCCAGTTACCGGTAAATAGCAGAGTTGCCAACTTAGCGACTTAGTAGCTAGATCTAGAGCTTTTTGTTTTTTTCTAGCGACATTTTAGAGCGATTTGCGACTTGTCGCAAATCTAGAGATATCCACAGAAATCTAGCGACTTTCTGGATACTTTTGGACTGTCCATGAAAACTCAGTTTTCCTAATTTCGAGCCATAATATATAGCAACGGGGTTACAGTGACAATAAATAATAAGAAAAGTTTAATACATTTGAACGGGTCGTGGTACAGAAGGAGGGACACGTCTATTTCCTGATCACTTGATGTCAGCCGGTCCATGGCTAATGTTGCCGTGTCGTCATTTATTTGTCTATTACCTTCGCCTTTGTAGCACCTGGGTAACTTACCTATTTGTCAGATATGCAATATGAATTTCATTAATACGCTAAATTTTAAAGAATATTAGCAAAATATCTTATAGAATTAATTCTATCAAGCCTGCGTGGTTCCAAACTTCTCATCCGCGTCCACCATGGGTGACCCATAGACTCCATACAGTTGCCCCGTCACTGTTCACCCGCTTTGCCAAAAACCATCAAGGAAATTTCCATTTGTTTGCATGCTGTTTATTAATTTGAACCCTTCATAGTCCCAATAGAAAATGGGTAAGCCACAGTATTCGCAGCGATTTAGGAAGGAATGGCTCAGAGATGACAGATACAAAAATTGGCTTCTGGAGGTGCCAGGAGATAATAAAAAAGGATTTTGTAAATTTTGCAAGTGTACTTTGTCTGCTAAGTTGTGCGACATTGAAAAACGCAAAAACACAAGAAGGCAGAAGAGCCGTTTAGTGCAAAAAGACAGACAATTTTACCATTCAAGAAACTTGGTGAAGCAAAAAAAGTGGAGGGAACTCTGGCCATGTTTGTAGCTGAACATTGTTCTATTCGTGTGGTAGAACACTTAAGTGAAGTGTGTAAAGTATGTTTTAGTGACAGCAAGGCAGGCAGTGAACTCAGGTTAAAAAGATCAAAGTGTTCTGGGATAATATGCAATATTCTTGTGCCACATTTCACAGAAAATCTGAAAAATGATATTTTTACATAATGCATTTTATTTATACTCCGTCCATTATAGTCGGCATTATGAAAATATTATTTGCATCAAATTACTGAAGGGGGGGAATAATAGCTAGCGACTTTCCATGGAAGATTTAGCGACATTTAGCAACTTTTAGGTACCAGCCTAGCGACATTTGAAAATCCGAGTTGGCAACCCTGGTAAATAGCAGACGCTTCAGTGACGTCACTAGTGTTTACACTACACCAGCGGGTAACATTTGATGACATTACTTGAAGTGAATTGGCCTTATTTTAAAAAACCAAGGATGGTTGGTAAAGGACTACTGAGTCAGTGGGTAAGTGTCACATTTGGGGTACTGGTCTTATACAGCGAATAGAGCTCAAAAGCTACTTTTTAAATGGAAATTTGGGGGGGCCGTCTTATGCACCCCGATGCCTTATAGGCCGAGATATACAGTACGTTAGTAGAAAAGCTGGGTCGGCACACGTGGATGGCGGCTGGTTCTGAGGCAGAGGGCAGATTAGTTGCCCTCCGGTGAATCACTTTCACTACTCGCAGAGGTTTGCAGGGCCTCCCAGACAAACCCCTCAAAGTCCATATCCTCACTATCACTATCATTGACTTGGGCTGACTGTGGTTGTGGTGGGTTGCGGGCAAGGAAGTCCTCAATACTACGTTGACAACTAGCATTGATGTTGTCGAGATAGGTCTGGATATACGGCTCCATAACTTTCGACAGAAGGTTATTAGACACTTCATACCGATGCTTGTCTGGGTCGTTGTCAAGGATGAGCTTAATTTTCTCCCCCAACTCGATGATTTCCTTCACACAATCATGGCTTGGTCCAGGTAATTCAAGGTTTTTCTTGGGTGGTGGGGGTCCAGCAGAAGCCATTGTGAGGGGAATAGGGCACAAGAGAGAACTGTATATGCGGACTGAGAACAATGAGACAGGCCCGGCTAGGTCAGCGACTTCTACCCTCTGGTGGCAGGGCACATCATGTTACATTAGACCAATCACAGCTAGCGGCGGAGGGATTGCGTGGGTGGTAAGGATGCATGGCCCAATCACAGTCCAATACGTCATATGACGTCAGCGATAACGTAAGAGCGGCCTAATGCGCACCACTCACCGCGCCGCTTCCCGCGTATGGTCAAGAATGGACCGCGTGAGTAAAAAAATGGCGCGGCGGTCTGGAACCTCTCCAGCCGCTCGCCGCGTAAATGATGAAATTTACCGCGTAATTAAAACATTTCATTCTGGCAAGGCACCGCGTAAAGGACCAAACGCATAAACAAAAACCGCGTAAATCCAGACTATACTGTAATTGTGCATTATTTCATAATTGATATTTGCTCCCAGACCCAGAAATGAAAATATGGACAGATTTTCAAGATTTTTTTCTTCAGAAAATGCTTCTGATTTTCAACCTTGAAATTTGTTCCCAAACCTGGAATTCAGGGAATTTTCCGGAAAAATTCTGAGCAAATTTCAATTCCGGCTTTTGGAGCGCTCCGGGTTTGAGGGATTTTGGCTAATGGAGATAGTATTACTGTATTTCATTATAAATATTCCCATACACATCACTTTATCACTTCATAAGAATAAATAACGAGGTTGTAAGTAATAAATACTTGGAGATTATGCCACAAATGCCACAATAGCCATTTTTAAATCATGCCTGGGACATATACACTTCTCATTTACTGAGACAGAAGCATAACTGGTGTGCTTGTCTGGAGGCTGCATAGTCCACCACATGTAGATGGGATACCACTTACCCTTAAAACTTGGTTCCACGCACAAGAGTAGCATGAAGAAAGTGGCGTTAAAATTTGAAGTGATTCAAACAAGAACTTTCAGAGAAAATTAACTATACACCACAGTGGCGTGTCTGATCGTGAAGCAAAACTGTTATTTACATTAAATCAAAACGCCACATAGGAACGGATGATCCCAAGTGTTAAATAAGTTCCTCCATGGAGCACCACACATGGGGCACAGTAGGACAAAGAGAAATGGATGGCAATAACTTGATCAAGAGAGTACAGTATAATATATGGAAAAGAGAAATAAAGAAGCTTTCTGGAATCTTTTTTAAGGCATATCCTATGAAATACTGAATGTTATGTTGAAAGTTTTTCCTTTCCATTGATTGATAAGAAACATGAATATCTTACCAGCCATGTATAAGGGTGCCTGTTGACACTGAAGACTTGAAAAAGAGACAACTTCATCTGGTATAGAAGGAAGATCTGGACAGACATTGAGGAAATCTTGGTCACTTAATTTCTTAATGGCTGTATCTACTGCCTGCTTGGAGTACACACCATTGGAATATTTTCTGTGTTGTTTCTGACGTGCTGCAAACAAACCTCCACATAGTTGGTCCCTGAATGATGTCAAATTTATTAACAATTCATTCATTACAGAATTTAGTCTTGTAGTTTATGGGAAAGAAGAATTTATTAGTGACTAATTTTTTGATAGTCAAGTTTTATTAATTAAAAAACAAGAAGTAACCATAAAAAGTCTTAATTTTTTTCAGTTTATAATACATATACCAGTACAGGTAAAGTACTTACATTATCTTACAGTCTTGTAAATCATTAACATACGTAGATGTGACGCTAAGGATAAAATCCTGGTATGGACCAAGAACAAATTCTTTCCCAACTGCTGCTGCAACTTGAGGGCCAACTATATTCTTCCAGACATCTTTGATGGTGCCAACATGATCATCACGTCCCTGCCAACAAGTTATAAAATATAGAAATGAAGCAGTGATCCCCAAATCCTGTTTTCTAGTGCAGTCAGTTACCAGGCAGCAGATTGAGAGACTAAGACATGCATGCTGTTTCCCCTTTATATCCTTTACATACAGGTGTTAACAGTTATATGATGGATTTATGATGCTTTATGCATGCTAAAAGATTTAACATTAACTGCTGTGCAATGTCTACCTGAATGCTTTTCCTGCATTTTCAAGACTATTAAAGTGATGTGCAATAATTCACAATATTCCAAGATATGATGATGCTGAGCAGTTAAAATGTGTCACGTCACGTTTGTTTCATGACCAACAAACCAGTCAGTGATATACGTTCACTTCTTCATTGTCGAATCCACTCAATCAGCACACAGTCAAGATCTTCATTTTTTGTCCTATGCAATGTTTTCTTATTTTTCATTAGTTTGTGGTTATCGCTGTCGGAGTAAAACTTCAACAACTTGTCTTTCTGTTTCTCTAAGTCATATACAGTGGGGTATGCTACAACGAATCTAATTGGTTCTAGAACCTTGTTCGTTATAGCATTCGTTCGTTATAGGATTAATCCGTTCAGGCCCCCAAATACAACCACTTATCACTGAAAAATATAATATAAAATTGTAAAAATTGTAAAAAAGTGCATAAATATGCATCTAAACCCCTGAAATAAAGAATATCATTAATACTTGTAATAAAAAACAATAAATTTGTAAAAAAAAAAAAATAAATAAATAAAAAATTAAAAATAATGTTCGTTGTAGGAGTTTCGTTTGTTATAGCTTTCTCAATTTTATAGGTAAAACCGTTCGTTATAAGAATATTCGTAGTAGAATCCATTCGTTATAGCATACCCCACTGTATGATGGTAGTTCTCACACCATATTCTTTAGTAAGATGCCGCACAGGTACACCACGATCATGCTTCTCTAATAACTCCACTTTCTGTGCTATTGATAATGAGAGATGTTTCCATTTCTTCTTCTCACTGTTACCCATAGGGGATAACTGAAGCTCTTTTTGACATTTTCACAGTGAAATTAAACTCAAAATCACAAAATCACAAAAAATATCAGAGAGCAGCAGACACAACTGACGCCTCACACCTGCGTGGGTTAGCTTCGGCCACGTCAGGTCATGTTCAGCGTCACTCTGGTTATGTCGTGCACACGAGTGATGTTCCACGAAAAGACTTTCGGTTTTCAGAGCTTTTTGGATTTCGGAATCACGGATAAGGGATTGTGGACCTGTATTGTGAAAAGTATACAGTATTACACCACAATTACTGACATCCTTCATTTTGGGTTGGCTAGCTGGCTATGAAAGAAATTCTGTAAGTTTTATCTACGTATCAACCCAGCTTGTGCTGGCGCCATATGGCAACTCGACCAACTCAACTTTAATTACAAAGCACGGAGTTGACTTGAGGGTAGACACAAATTTTCTACATTACATTTTGTTGTCGTGTTTCTTATTATTTGTGAGAGGATTTCCCCATTATTATTTATTTGTATGCATTTTAATAATAATAATAATAATAATAATAATAATAATAATAATAATAATAATAATAATAATTAACGGTTTATTGAAAGAGCATGACAGCCGGAAGGCTGAAATGTACAGTTACATAATTGGGAATGGGCCACTTGATCGACAGATAACATAAGTGATACAAATATGATATCTAATATACAGTACTATAGGAATTGCCGTGGCTCTGTCTGTCTGTTCTGGGCAGCCGAAACGGCACAATCGTTTTTCATCAAACTTGGTGGAAAAATCGCAAAAAATTCGTAGAGTGGAACAAACCTGGTCCCATGTCGATGGGTTCTTTAGGAAGGCATTAATTAACCACTTTATTTACGATGGAAAACGATGCAAGTCTAAGGACTTGGCGCACCCTCATTCGCTGTACGCTAGCCAAGCACGAGCGTTCAAATTTTCACCGGGCATGAAGGGCCTGCGTTCACTTTTATAATAACTCAGTGGGGAAAAGGTTATACTACAGGGCATTTCAACAAAGTGACACTGCAATAAGGTAAGATTGGCTGGGAGTGAATACATACACTAGTTGATCATGATTTGATAATTTTTATAATGGTTGGTTAATGGTTGGGACTGGGCTGTTCTCTGTGTGTGTGTGTGTGTGTGTGTTTTATTGACTTGACCTGATGCTATTAAGTTTACCATTTGTATACTGTATAAGCCTCTCACAGTCTCTGGAAATTCAGTTGCCTTTGAAGATGTCTTGAATAAAGACAAAAGCTAAGGTGCTCCAGTTTTTCACTTTTCCTGTATGCTTTTATCGATATAGTACAGTGATATCCCCGTTAGCTGGAACAATTGGTGCAGAGCACTTCCGGGTAACAAGACGAATTTCTCAAACCCAGAAAAATTCCTTATCCCCGGAACCTTTTCCGGTTATTGGAAAAAGTTTCCGAGTGTCTAAACTAGACATCTAACAAAGACGCACACTAGCCCACTTCCCCAGAACATTTCTGGGCGCTGGAGATATTTTCCTTGAGTCTGGAATACTGGAATACGTAAATACAGTTCTAATTAAGTTAGAAACTTAATTTCTTTACCATAATAATCCAGAATAGTTTATCTAAAAGTTTGGTTAAATATTTAAAATTAAAAATTAAAAATCTGGCAGAAGCAAACATTTTTACAGGGTGAGGGTAGCGTGGTCAGCTCTCCCCCCCCCCTCCCCCCATACCTCATTTAAGTGTGACTAATTGTGATAGAGATAAATTTGATAACATTATAATCCTTAATAATTTCTCTACGAGACGTTTCCAATAAGATATCCTTAGACGAAATATTTCGATGATATAGTGATGGGAATTTCATTTTTTATAAGAAAAACATAAGAAATGTTGATACCGGAGTCAGTAAAATCAGTTCTAATTTTGTTACACCAGTGGTTCCTAACCTTTTTGGCACTGGCCCCCCTTTGGTCAACCCTATATCCATGCCCCCATACAAAAAGAGCGAAAATTTTCAACAGTTCCATATTCTCCCTGTCTCGAAAGATGACCTCATCGAACTCATCAAACTATGTATTAAGGATTGTAAATTTGAATTCAATGGAGAATATTATGCTCAAAAATTTGGCATGGCAATGGGTAATCCACTCTCACCTGTATTAAGCAACCTATATGTGGAATTCTTTGAAAAGAAACTATTAAGTAATATCTTACCACCTTCAGCAGTCTGGTTTAGATATGTAGATGATGTATTATGCCTCTGGCCATGTAATGAGGACCTAAAAGCTTTCCTGCCACAACTTAATAACTTAGCTCCCTCGATCAAATTCACTGTGGAATTAGAGCATGACTGTAAATTGCCTTTCCTAGACTGTCTGATCCACAGAATAGGTAACACTTTTAAGTTCAGTATTTATAGAAAACCTACTAATGTATGTTCATACATTCATTATTATTCTGCCCACCACAATAAAGTCAAACAGTCAGTATTTTCAACAACGTTTTTACGTGCTTTGAGAATTTGCAGCCCGGAATTCATTGATGAGGAATATAAATATATCTATAATATTGGCTCAAACCTTAAATACCCTAGATCTTTCATAGACAAATGCCAGAACATTACTAAGAAATCTTTTTATAGAACTGATCCCAAGCCCACCCATAACCATAAGAATCTCTTAGTATTACCATTTCACAAAAATTTCTCTCAAATTCCTTTACAACTAAAAACCTGGAACGTCAATGTGGCATTTAAAAACTCATGCACGGTTAAACAAATGTTAATCAAGAACTCCCCCAATAATACAAATGGCTGCATTTATAAAGTCCCTTGCAAGGAATGTAATATGTTTTACTTAGGCCAAACAGGTAAAGATCTTGTAACTAGACTTAAACAACATAAATACAGTGTTAGGACAGGCCAGGAATCCAATGCTCTGTTCGTTCATTTGAGGGATAATAAACATTGCATTGACTGGGATAATGCCTCCTCAATATTACCTTGTAATTCAATTGACAGTAGGAACATCATAGAATCTAGTCTCATTAAACATACCAAATCCGTTAACATGAATTTGAGTAACGGTATGTACAAATTGAACAATTTTGTAATTAAGAAGATTTGTAACCAGGTGAGAAGGTTGGGTCAGTTTTCCCTCTGACCTGACTACCAACCACTGCGGAGCTTTTGTAGAGATTAGTAGGGTCATTACATATGCTTGACCTCTGTGGACTTGTTCTCACCCTCCTCTGTATATATATATATAACTTGTTCTGCGCTTCTATTTTAGTCTGTACTCACCCCTGAAGGTGTGAATTACACGAAAGCGCTTGGGAACTTCGTGTTTTCTTTTTCCTTATGGAAAACACGCGGTGCGTGTACCCCTTTACGCGGAGAGCGGCTGGCGAGCCGCGCCATTTTTGGATCCAAACCTCCCGCCATCCGCCATGTTGTGTAAGCTGCGCGAACATGGTGCGCACAAGGTCGCCCAGTCATCAAAACATTACCAGTTCTTCACCCGCCACCCACCACAGCCGGCCCAAGTCAGTGATAGTGATAATTATGGTGAGGATATGGACTTATATGGACTTTGGGGAGTTTGACAAAGAGGCCCTGCAAGCCTCTGTGGTGGATAGTGATACAATTGATACAAGTGACACAGGTGAGGGCCAATAATCTGCCCTCTGCCTCGGAACCAACCGCCCATCCCCGTGTGCCCAGCCATTTTTTCTACTAATGTAAGTGTTAAAAAACCTAATATTATTGATATTTCTCTTAATTATTAATTGTGTGTGCATACCATCATAAAGTTAAGATAATATTTTTACTACAACATAGTTGTGTGTCGTCAAAAAGTGGAGTTTGGGGATCGGCCCGGACTCCATTTCAATTAATCCCATATGTTATGTTATTCACTTTACGCGGGACCCTCCGGGTTACATTAACCGCGTAAAGTGAGGGTTAACTGTACAGTCAACCCTCACTTTACG